TTTTTTTTTTTTTTAATCAAGTTCACCTTTAGCATGGATGAAATTATGTGGTTATGTCACGTGTCATCATCTGGTAAATTTTATTCGTTGCATGGAAGAAACTTACAAGAATGCGCCATATGTCATGTCAGTCTAACTTACTAAAGTGATTTAGAAAAATAAATGAGATTTATTTTCTCTGATTTTCAATAATATCCACCTCTTGCTCTACACATTGTTCTATGTTATTAATAATTGCTATTATAAGATAATATTACTAATAATACTATTTAAGAGGGAGACAAAAATTAAATTCAATTATGCAAGTTACGAGAGTGACAATAATAAAATAATGAATAAGGTTAGGGGAGAGAAAGAGAAGGAAAGAAGTGGCTTGCGATGTATGTGTTGTGGTCATTTTTCAAGATTTGAAATTCAAAATGTGCAAAAGACAAAACATGTGGTATTAACCACTTTGGAATTTCCACTTTTAGCGTGGGCCCCATTTGTCACGACCCCCTTTTTGTAAGGATTAATGACATTTTTGCTCAATTACAATATGTATAAATTTTTTCATAAATTAAAATAAAACTTAACTCTAGGAAATTTTTTAGAAATAAAATTCAACATTTCAATTGAAAGAACAAAACCATAGGCATTTTCATATAGCTCAAAGATCATATATTTATATACACAGAGAGATTGCTCAACATGGAGCTCAAAATACATATTTACAATCCAATAATTACATTTTTTTGAAAATTTTAGCTAAATAATCTAGACTCACTGTAACATCTTAAATTTAACTTCAAATATCAAATTTCACAAAATAGAAGAAAATAAAATTTCATTCAAAATTGGTTTTTCCCCATACATAATTGATTAAAATAAAATTTGGCTTCAAGAATGTTTTCTTTGAGGGGAGAAGGTAAGAAAACAGAGAGAAAATGAGAGTGAAAGCTGTTTAGTGATAAATGAATATTTTTCTGCTCTTAAGGTTCTTTAAATATCCCTTTAAAGCGCACACTCTCACTCGAGCGAGCTTTGCTCTTGCTTGGGTGAGACCATTCTCGCCTATGCGAGAAAACCAAAAAGTGGCATCTACCCAATTTTCTGCTATTCTTGTTTGAACGAGAAGCATTCTTGCCTAAGTGAGCAGCATCTCGCCCAAGCAAAAGGCATTCTCGCTTGGGCAAGAATGGGTCCAGAGTGTTCCCCATTTTTCCTGCCACTCCTCGCCTGAGCGAGCTCATCCTACCTAAGCAAGGTCGCTTCTTGCTTGAGTGAGATCCTTTCTTTCTTGGATGAGAGGACAATTGGGGCGGTCTTATCTTATCTCGCTTGAGAGAGATAGCTCCAAAATGCTCAGTTCAGCACGACTCAATCTCGCTTGAGTGAGAAATCCTACACATAATTTTCATTTCTCACAGAATGAAGGTTTTACAACGAAAGGCTTTGCTATATTTCTTACGCTAATACACACACAAAACACTTAACAATTAAGTACAAACCCCCACTACTAATAACATAAAATAAAACAACCACACAGCACTGTAAATGCACAACTCTTTCTTCAACAACTATGCAGCTCACATATTTCATTTTTCATTTCCATGCATACAATCAAACAATTTCAAACACAATTTAAAGGAATAGTACACACACACACACACACACACACACATATATATATATATATATATATATGAAGATACACCATTTATTTATGAGAAACAAAAAAAATTGAAAATCCTTTCTCTTCTGTGTATAAAGTGGCATTAACCGTAGTTATGGTAGGGCCTTGATTGCTTGAACTACACCTATTAAGTTTTGTAACCTATGTCAGTATGACAGATGGCGCAATCGCATAATTTCATTTCTACCAAAGACAAAACCTCAAACAAGGAATATGTCTTTAAAAAAATATTATTTTATATATTTTTTTAAAGTATTAAAAAAATTAAAAAATTGCTTTTAGTCATATAAAGAATTCCTATTTAAATTTATTTTTTTAATTTATAATTTTCTATTCTCCCCTACTTTAATTTTGGTTAAAGTGATGTAAGTTATGAAAAGTGACTTCTCCTATCTCCCCACGTGCTCCTTCTTGGTTGATGGTTAGTATATTGGGTCAAGCTTTAGGGTCCTATAGTATTTTTATGCTTGATTTAATATTGGTCATTGGTGGAGTCGTTGTGGACTTAGTTTTTTTAGAAAATTGATTTGGAATTAAGTTGTTAAGCTTTTATTGCTTGGTGGGAATGCATGACATTTAGTCTTATAGCTTGTTTTTTATGTGTGGTCCTATCTCTTAGTTGGCGTGTTTATAGAAAATTTGTGGAAGAAAAGATAAACATGTCTAATTAGGAGTTATGAGGATTTCAAATTTATTTCATTCTATCAAATTCCAAGTAGTAGACTGACCTTAGGTTATTATCCATCCTACTACTTACATCATTTTTTTATTTGAATATTGAATTTTTACCAATCTACCAAATTTATATGAAATTATAGCCTTATTACACCTATAGGCTTCATTCATTTCTTAAATTTCACTTTAGATTTCAATACGTTTTTCAATTCAATTTCGAACTTGTACCTAGGAGCCATATTTTCATAATTATTCCTTATCCTTTTGTAGCCTTATTCATACATTTTACTAGTTATTCTTGATTAATGTTTGTATATTCCAATGCTAACTTATTGCCTGAGAAATCTTACCTTTCATGTGCTCGTTAGTATCTTTTTTATTTTTATTTTTTTGAAATTTTCTTCTTATCTTGTCTTTATGGTTGTACCTATTTCTTATTTGATCTTATCTTTAACCTCTCTAATATATGTCTAAGTGTCCTTCACATTCACTAATTTTCTTATTCATTTATTTCATTTAACTTATCATCTAAGTATTCATGCATCCTTTTCGACTAATGATTTGAATATTAACTTATATTATACGACTTAAAAATTTCATTCCTAATCTTTAAAATTTATAATCTTATTTTAATTTTACCAATCTTTCTAATAAATTTATGTCCTTAACAACCTTTTAAATTATTTATTAAGCTCTTAAATACTTTTAAAAGAATTTTATAATTTATTTAGATTCTAAGATACTAAAGAATATTCTTTCATAAGTTACAAATTTACGGTAAGTATATAAACCTTTAGAAGCTAATTTTATAGAATTTTATAATTATGTTATTATTAATAATATTAATTTGAAATTTGAGATTTCATAATTTTTAATAAAAAAAATATCTATTTATTTAATATACAACAATATTTATTCGTTTTAAATAATAATATATTTTTAATTATATATAAAATTATTTATTTAATAACATCTGTATAATAAATGAAAATTAAGAAAATTGTACCATTTTAAACCACCTATAAACACAACTAAAAATATGTCATTATAGTTTTTACTTAGCAATTATAAATAATCACAAAATTACATTAAATTGCCATTTAAAGCTACAAAATTTATCCATTTTTTACTGTAAATATTTATCAAAATTAATTTAATAATTATTTTTTTAACAACATATATTTTTATTTGAAAATATCTTACTCGAATCAAGTAAAATTATTTTAATTTTTTAAAATAAAATTACTTTAAATTTTTATATACATAATATATCTTTCACAATATTTATGCACATCGTGCTTTTTTCAAATCAATAAATACTCATGTAATATATTCAAAGCATTTTAAATCTTAAACTATCTTAAAACTTTTTTTATACTATTTTTTGACAAATAAGTCTTATAAAACTTTTAAACATCAATAATGCTATTTAAACACCCAGATTTGGTGTCTATACCCAACACCGTATAGTAATAGTTCCCAAATACAAGGTTGTATGTTCTTATTCTATACATGTAAGTATGCTGCCTAAACTCATTAACTAAACTTAAAAAAAAATCAGAAGTATGTCGTGTAAGTCTCCTGCCTCTGGTTCCTCCTTTCTTCTTCTTCTTCTTCCTCCTCCTCCTCCTCCTCCTCCTTTCCTGTGGCCTACTCTTGGATATTTGGGTGTTGTCTCTCATTTGAGCTTGTCACTTCGTCTCTCTCACTTCTCCTCTCACGTGTTCTCTGTGGTTTTTTTTTCTTCTTTTTCGTCCTCCTCCTCTCCTGCGGCCTACTCCTTGATATTTGGGTGTTGTCTCTCATTTGAGCAATTTACTGTGTCACTTCGTCTCTCCCACTTCTCCTCTCATGTCTACAAGAGAAATATCAAGTTCTTCAATCCTACCATGTTCTTCCTCTACTAAAACTACATCTTTGTCATGTTATTTGTTATTCACGTTACTTTCATCTTACACTTTGCGTTACTGTGTGTGAGTTTGTTATCCCACTTCTCATCTGAGTGATACATGAGTCCTATCAAAGGTGGTGCAACATAAATCTGAAACCCAGGGTCTTGCATGTAAGCTGAATAGTTTTTGGTAAGTGGGTTTTTGACAAAGCTCACGCCCATGACCCTTTATTTTATAAAGTTTAATTTTTTTTGTTTCTATTTTGTGTGCTTATTGCAGGTTGTATCTTGGACGTTTAAAGCATATGGAGGTGCAACGGGTTATTGAGGAGGAACCATAGAAGCATGACAACGAAAATGTTGTTGAGCCTGTGTGTGAAGTTGCTAGTGAGGATGATAGCTGTGATAGCTCTGACATAGTTGAGCCAAGTGTTGGAATGGAGTTTGATGATGTTGAAGCTATTAAAGTATTTTACAAGAACTATTCAACTAAAGTGGATTTTGGATGGAAGATTAGAAATTCAAAAAAAGGCCCTGATGGAGAGTTGAATTATTTGATACTTGCGTACATACGAGAAGGAAAGAGCTCTTCAAAGTTACCAACAACTTTGAAGACACCTTCCAGGATAGCTGCCAAATGTGAAGCAAAGATCATAGCAAAGAAAGGGGGATCCAGAAAATGGTCTATAAAAACAGTTGTTGTACAACATTCTTATGGATTGAGTCCTTAGAATGTTTTAAAAAAATAAGAATATTAGCATGCATGTGAGAAGAACTCTTGATTTACACAATGAGGTAGGGGTGAGGATAAACAAGACTTTTCAAACCCTTGTTCATGATGTTGTTGGTCATGATAATTTGAAATTTGTAGAAGAGAATGTGAGAAACTACATTAACAAGGAAAGACGTTTGATTGCCAAGGAAGGAGATTCAAAAGCATTGGTGGATTATTTTTGTAGGATGAAGGAAGAAAATAGTCAGCTCTGGTATGATATTAATGTTGATGAAGACTTTCGCATAAAAAATATATTTTGGGCAGATGCTAGAAGTCGAGCTGCATATGAATCTTTTGGAGATATCGTTAGTTTTGATACAACCTACCTAACCAACAAGTATGACATGCCCTTTGCTGCTTTTGTTGGTGTAAATCACCATGGTCAGTTAGTTTTACTTGGCTGTAGCTTAATATCAACAGAAGATACAAAAACATTTGTGTGGCTTTTCAATTGTTGGCTTAGATGCATGTGTGGGAAGGCACCCAATGGGATTGTGACTGACCAATGCAAGGCTATGCAAAATGCTATTACAATAGCTTTGCCTAATACTCAGCATAGATGGTGTTTATGACATATAATGAAAAAATCTCAAAAAAATTGAAGGGATATGGTCAATATAAGCAAATCAAATCAACAATGAAAGATGTTGTTTATGATAGTGTAACGAATGATGATTTTGAAGAGAAATGATATTCTTTCTTGAAGAAGTTTGATGTTGAACAAAATCAATGGTTGTGTCGATTATTCAAAGACTGGCATAGATGGGTGCCAATATATTGAAAACAATATTTTTGGGCTGGACTATCAACCACACAAAGAAGTGAGAACGTACACGCCTTTTTTGATGGATATCTGAACTCAAAGACAAGCCTACAACAGTTTGTGAAGCAATATGAAAATGCATTAAGGAGCAAGGTGGAGAAGGAAGTGAAAGCTGACTTTCGCACAATGAACAGGACAATTCAGTATGGGTCAAACTCCCTTGTTGAGAGACAATTTCAAGCTAAGTATACAAATGCCAAGTTTGCTGAAGTTCAAGTAGAATTTAGAGGTAAAATAAACTGTGCTACAACAATAAAATTTGAGGTTGGAACTATCATTTCATACAATGTGTGTGAGGATTTTATATTTGGTAATCAGATGAAAGAAGCTAAGTTTGAGGTTATTTTTAATAGGAAAAGTAAGGACATTAGTTGTCAGTGCTTGCTATTTGAATTTAGAGGTATAATGTGCAGACATTTTCTTTCGGTGCTTGGAATTGAAAGAGTTAAGCAAGTACCTTCTAAGTATATTCTCAGTAGATGGAGCAAGAATATTAAACGAAGACATTCATACATCAAGGCGAGCTATGATAAAATTGAATTGAAACGAATGAAGGAGAGGTATGATAATCTGTGTAAGCATTTCTATAATGTGGCTGAAATGGTTGCAAATTCTGAGGAAGCAAGCAATCTCCTTCACATAACACTTCATAATTTCACTTCAAACTTGCCAACCATATGTTCTTCTTTGAATAAACATTCCAATGACGAAGACATTGCTAACAACTTGAGTGAAGAGTGTCCAATTCATAGCCCTACACGTGTAGCACGTAAAGGTTAGCCAATAATCAAAAGAAAGATGTCCAAATGCGAGAAGGTTGTAAGAAAGTGTAACAAAAAATGCATGAAGTCAAGTGCAAACTTGCGGATTGAGGTGCTTTTATTTTGATTTATATTGTTACATGTATATTAAATTTCAATTCTTATAGAGAGAGTAATACTAATGTCAGATTTCATTGTTGCAATATGTAGGAATCATTGGGTGGAACTGTTGCTGAGCAGTGTGAAAGTAACTTATGCATTCAGTCATCGGTCAAGGTTGTAAGTCATAATAGTAATGTATTATGTGTTAGTGTGAAGTTAAGGTTAAATTTGTAACTATCACCAATTTGGGTGATATGACACAAGTTTTGTGTTTGTTGTTTTAAATGTTGTAACTGTGTCTTTTCTTTAAAGGTGATATTTGTGAAACAACTATTCTGTTGTGGTGGCAATGGCCATAGTTATGATGGCCATTTCAATTATTCATTATCATTAAAGCTGTATACATTGGACTTGTTACTGGTAAATTTATAATGGTTAATGGTTGATGTAGCAAATGAATGAAAGTGTTGAAGTTTCGATGTTTGAAGAAATCATATTGGGGTCAGAGTCATCTATCTTGCAGCCAGGAGAATTTGTTTCTTTTCTTCAATCTGTTAAGCATAACTCTCAGCCAAGGGTACAGTAATGTGAATCAAAAGTAATTTTATCTTCATTGGATTTTTGGTATATGTTAAGTTGAATTTTTTATGTCCTACTTTCTAGGTTGTACAGGATTTAGCTCAGATGGATTTATACGTCCACATGGATACAATCAAACCACATGATAGTCTTCAACAGTGTTGAAAAACAAATTCTGAATTGATACTTGCTTATCAATATTTTCAGAGTGATTGTATAAGTAAATTACATTTACAAGTATTAGTACATGCAAGTTTGGCTAATGAATAGAAAAGTAAAGTCTCTTTTGTTTTGAATGGGTAAGATTAGTAGAACTAATCTTGAAATCTACATAATATTTATTTTTTGCTTATTTAATAATGAATAATGTCTCTGTATGCAGGATGATATGTACATACTATGCATAATATTTTTGGCTTCACCATGCAAAAGTCATTATTTTGGCTGGAGATATAATATCTTAACATTAAGTGGTCAGAAAGGCAGGATAATAAACCTCAAGAGTTGAACCATACTATTATTTTTTTGGTATATTGTAAATAGCAACATAGATGATACAATAGGTCTTTTGAATATGATTCATTGGACAACACAATATTTTCTGTTTGCTGTTATCAGTAAGATAGGACACAGTGAATTGTACAAGAACAAAGTCTTCACATTATCTCTTGTAAAGTTGTGAATTGTGCAATGTAACCCTTGTGATTTTTGTTTGTAACTATAATGTATGGTTTATTGATCAATACAAGATTCACGTACTTGAGTTGTGTTACCTGAGCTTTATAGTAAAATTGAAATGGTAAAAATTTTGCTTTATCTGAACTGTATAAAGATGGTATTTGACCATATAAAGCTGGTAATTACATTTTACATAAGATGGCAATTGATTCCAGATACTGGTAATGTTGTAGTTATTACATCTGGTTTATTTTTCGGTTATGTAATATGATACATGATCTTAATTAATTGGAAGAAAAGTTTATTTAATTTTTTGTAACCAAATACTTTCCCATAACTATGATAACAAATTAGCCTTAATTGAATTGTATAAAGATGATAAGGGAACAAAAAGACATAGTAATTATATTTTCAATATGATGGTAATTACTATAATGTGTTTTCTTATATAATGTTGCATAATAGAGACAATAGAAATTGATGTTTATATAGTAAATGTTTAAATAAAATTTAGACTTTACCCATTAAACATGTTCTGTATATTCTATGTTTTATGGTTAAGAATTTTGATAACATCATATTAGGACACAGGTGGTTCTTAATGCAGGCCATCAATCTTAATATGCATTTCATTGTTATTGATTTTTTTTTATCTTACTGAACTTAATTAAAACCTTTTGTTACAGATAATTTTTGAATATTGGTGCCTAACACAAATTATGGATTTTGTCATTTATGTTGGCAATAAAGATAACTATATTGGGGTATAGTGTAATCCAGCATCTGATAATACATTTAAAATGTTGGTACTTGATACTTCGATGTGATGGTAATTTATTTTAGATGCTGGTAATGTTGCAGGGTATACACAATTGTGATTTATGACTTATTGTTCCAGATACAGGGATCGATAAGACTTTTTCTTTTGTTGCGACCAATGTTAGGCCATAAGTACCACTACTAAAAAGTCAGTATATTGTCACGACCCCAAGGACAAGGTCATAAACATAACCTACTAAATCTCAGCACTACACAGTAATCACCCTTAATTAGGTATTCATGGATAATCATCAAAAGAAATCAACATGTATTATTTGAAAATAATCCTTAAACAATGTAAGTATTACAAAATATGACTTAGTTGTCATTACAAAGATTAATTACAGCAAAAGACTAATACATGAGAAAGTCCTAACGTATCCTAATTCCTAATCCTTCGCTTCTCCATCAGCTACTCCGGTCAGCCGAAGCCTCACCTGCTTGATCTGCTCACGTACCAAGATACGATCATTGCATTACAACATCACAACAACAACAATTGCAAGGGTGAACAAAAAGAAACAGCATATCAAAGTAGAATAATCTCAGTAAATCTGCAAGAAAACAACAAATGCAGCCCAACCCAGCTCATGCTCATGCAACAATGAGAAACAGTATCCATATGGCCTTTTACAGCACACTCAGCAGGTCCAGAGGAACTGTGCCAGTCCGGGAGCGACCCGTTTTGGTATCTGGATCTAGATAGTACAGCTCAGCTTTCTAAAGCCACATGACTACCCACCTAGCATGTGACACAGCGCCTATCATGACAGCCCTATTCAGCTCTAGTATGATGCATAAATCAGCATATTAATAATTTCAGCAATAGTAATTGTGTAACAGCTCAGCTAATTTAGTAATTTTCAGCAAATAAAGCATTGTTATTTCAGCACACAGCCCAACAATTTCAACTACATGGTATAATTAGCAACATTGGGTCATCTTCCCTAGGGTTTTTCACAGCATACAACCATCATACTCTATCATTCGGCTATCAAATTACTTCTCCTAGAGTTCAACAACAATCAATCACATCAACACAACAATTTCATTCCAAAAACGCAGCTCTAAGTGAATAAAGTGTTAACGCGCAACTGAGTTACATTGGGAGTTGTCACTCTTAGTGCTCACTGTGAAAGCGCGCAAACAATTTCACACTGGACATTACTACTCTGATCACTTAGAGAGATAACGCACACTAGAGTACAGCTTTTGCATTACTACTTTGAGCGTTTACAATAAACACGCGCGCAAATGGGAAATTGCAAGTCTTCACTTCAACCACTTGGAGTAGTCACGTGAATTGCACATTGCATTTTAAGTAATAACCTTGAATAATTAGAGTAAGTACGCACACATGGCATTTCATTAAAATTTTTCAAAGTGCTTACTTTCCCTAATTAAAGTGGTTACCTGCTTTGTGCTTCTATTTAAACCATTCAGAGTGATAACGCAAAAGCATCACACCCTAACCCTCACATCTGCACTGAACCCCAGCTCTAGAAAAATTGAATTTCCTGCTCATTATTAACTGCATTTTTGTTGATTATATATTTCATTGTTATCTACGAGTAGGATTGCATCATTCCTGCACTTCAATTCCAGGTATTTCTTCCTTCAATCTTGAAATTTCTAATTAGGGTTCTTCAGAGTTTGAATTTGGGAAATTTTGGGAATTTAAAATTGGGGACAATTTCTGTGAAATTACTGGTTTGAATATGAAATTGAAGATTGATAGGGTTCGTTCCATGCTTAAATTGTAAATTTTAATGGAAAATCAACACTACATCAGGATTTTTTGTATGAATGTGTTGCTATGATTTGTGCTTGCATATGGACTTGATTCCTGAGCAATTTATTGTGAAATTCATGCAGTTTAATGTTAGAATTTGCTTGAAATATGTCCTGCATAATTATGAAATAATTTTGATTGATCAATTGTGGAGAAGGGATTTTTAAAGTGAATCTTATGAGTACTAATGTGATTTTTGGTACTAAAAATTGTTTGATCAAGACATTCTGGATTATTGTTTTGATACATTGCATTGAATTGTTCTGAATTTTATTTTTTTACCATGGAACTTTGATTCTGCATTTGTTGTCATACTACTCTGCATTTAGCACATTGCACATGAAAATTAAGAGTTAAGCTGAACCTGAAAACTTATCCTACACTTGGACATAGCTAGATACTAATGAATTCCACTGGAATTATAACTTGCTGACGGTTCACATAGTTTTAAGATAGCATATTCTCTGTATTTGGAGTTAGAAAAAGTGCTACAACTGTTGAAATAATTCATGCACACTTGGTTAAATTCTGAACTAATTCTTCCTTGGTTTAAAATTGTGATATGTACAGAAAATGGCAAGCATACCAAGGAAAACTCCAAGAACTAAAAGGGGAAGATTTTTAGTTGGTCCCTCTTCAAGAACAATCCCTGACCATGACCCAAGATTTTGAACTATTGCAAATGAAAACTACTTCAAAGCCAACATTTTGAGGAGGAAGATTGTGCATGATAGAAATTTTGAATTAAAAGAGGAAGAACATTCTGAATTCTCTGAACAGATTCAGAAGAGAGGATGAGAGGTTTTCACATCTATTGCAGGAAAAGGTTCTAAGGAAATAATTCAAGAATTTTATGCTAATGCTTTGAGGACCAAAGGAGAACATCTACCCTCCAATCACACTGCTGTTAGAGGCATTGTAGTAAATTTTTCTGCTGAGAAGATTAACAAAGTTCTGAAAATTGCCATTGAGAAGGAAGAAGGACAGCAAGATTTCTCAGAAATTAGGAAAGCTATGGATAAGGATTACATTGAAATTCTTCACAGAAT